CTTACACATACAATGATTCTGACAGTTCTCTTACCCGATAGAAACAGCTCTTCTGAACAGAAGTCAGAGCAGGCAGAACTAGAAAATGGGAAATTTTATTATCTGAGAATTATTTTGTGCATTAAATTGAATGAACATGGTCTGGATAGCCCACAGACATACCATAAACATTTCTAGGACCCATAATTGGTCTCCTTTAAATGTTTAATCTTTTTTATTTTAGCAAGATTAAATAAGCTCTACTACATCTACAATACAAGGTCTAATAAGCTACCATCAAATTTGTCCTTATTAGTTACCCATATCTTAATAAAACTTAACATGRTTCACGTTTGAATGGTACTGTGAATGAAAACATTAACCAGCTCACCAAGTAATGGAGGCATCAGGTTTTTCTGATCAATGTGACGCAGAACCTCACTGATYTAGGCCTTACAGTCCTCTTCCTTTCTTGCAAAGTATCCCAGGGCCTGCTCCCAGAGGCAGCCCTCCTGCTCTCCATACTGCTTGCAGGCCTGCACTACTTTCCCATACTCCTCATTCTGCATGTGGTAATGCATTATCTGCTGATACCTGCACACAAACCATGCCATGAAGTGTGAAATAAAAACACCATTTGAGAGTAGATCATCCTGGTGGCGTCCAACATGTGCCTCCATTACTGAGCATGTGAGTGAGCAGACGTTAAAGAGACAATATTTCTGCTGAGCTGTTAATGTTTGGTTTCTCACCAATCTTTTATTGGCAATTTTCTTTTGCAGTTTTATAAAAAACACAACAAAATCTGGAACCAAACATGCAGCTTGAGTAAGAACAGTGCTCTGACTTTTGGTAGCAGTAAGAAAGACGTAGACAAATTTTAACAATAATCTGAAAAACACACACACAAAAGTAATTTTGGTGAAATAAGTGAAACATTTCAGTCCTTTTCAGAGCTCTACAGTCAGGCATACAAGCAGGAGAAAAAGAGAGTCCTTCCTGAAGGCTTTCATGTTTTCCTGTAGCTTTGAGTAGCTGTATATTTTAATTACCACTTCAAGTTTGTCCATCACTTGCTCCAGCTGTATTGATGAGACATGACCCACTGTCCTGCATGTTTTCCTGCTTCAAATAATTAATGACCTACTCAGAAGTCTGCCAGTCATCCCAGTCAGGTGTGCTGAAGCAGGGACACATCTAAAACATGCAGGACTGTGGGTCAAGTTTTATCTGGATACATGTTAAGCTCTGGAGGAAACAATCAGCTGACTGGTGAAGAACAGATCCAGTCACTGCAGGTCTTACAGTTTCTCCCTCCTGGTTTTAACTCATGTTAACATGTTTTTATCCAGCAACAGATGGGATTTTAAATGTACCCAGATACTAGGCATGGGCCAGATACCAGTTTCAAGGTATACTGTGAAATGAAAAAATCATTGTTTGAAAACCACTAAAATTTTCTGTCATACCGTTCTTACGGTATAAGCGTTTTTTTTTCCTCTGGTCTGTGCCACTGCAGACTTTCCCCCATGTTACGGATGAAGGAAGAGAGTTCCCCAAACTTTTCCCCTGTCTAAAATAATAAAGCCAGCTATATGAAAATACTTTGGATGCTGTAAAAAGACGGACGGAGTGTCTTGTGGACCATGGAGGCAACACGTCTAACATGATCACAGCTCCAGGTAAAGTTTATGCTATCTTGAAATGAACGAGCTAACGTTAGCATCAGACTGTGAAACATGTCACCGTGTTGCTGTGGTTTAATGCACTGATCACAACTTGTCTGCAAAACTGTTTGAATTGTTGGATTGTGTATTTGATGAGTTTTAAGTGAAAGATGATAAAACTGAATGCCTCCTTTAGCCGAGCAACTCATTAGCTGAACGTGCTTTTCATAAACACACATTCATGGTTGTTATTTCTTGTTTCTGTGTGCATATAAATATATAATCTTTACGTGCAAAACCCTTCTGAAATTTAAAACACAATAAAAACTCCCAACGTGATGCATTACTTCAACAAAAAGACTTGTCGTGCAGTATACACTGATTTGTCTTAAATAATAAAGCAGTAGAAAAACAGTTATCTTATTACCATATTTTTTGGACTATAAGCCGCGACTTTTTTCCTGAACTTTGAACCATGAGGCTTTTAGACCGGTGCGGCTTATACGTGGATTTTTTTCTTCAGCCACCAGGGGGCTCTTATGCTCCATTTGCTTCAACCACTCGCTTAAAAAAAAGAAAGGAAAAAAAGAAAAAAGCGATCGCTTCCAGAGCCGACTGTTGTACCAGGAAGCAGCGATTTAAAGATGGTCAATGACCAAAAACTCATAAAAGGGGATAAAACAGACATTTTTCACAGTGGAATCTGACTGATAAAAACTTTGGAGCTTAATCCAGGACCAGTTTATGGATAAACATCAAGTGAAGAGCTGCTGACTTTTTTTTCGGCATTGCACTCCCCGGGAAGGAATCCCATGCAGTGACGTCTGCTGGAGTGGGAGGGCTTTCCCAGCAGCTGACTGACAGGGATAAATCATTCACAAAAATTGGCCGAATGCGAAGAGCGACATTTCCTGATGTCTGCCAGTGGATCCTAACAGTGTGGAGCAGAGTGAACGAGTCCACCATCACAAATGGGTTCT